TGTCACAGCCTCTTAATTTATTTATGAGAATAGGATGATATACCATATTGAAGGCCTTGCTAAAGTCCAAGGAAACAACATCCACACTGTGTACTCCTGTGTCTAAGCATTGGTCCAGATTGGTCAGGCATGATCTACCTGCTACAAATCTATGCGGTTTCCCCGCTGCATTATTTTTGCTGCTGGACTCCCACAAATATGATCCCTCATAACCTTTCCAAAGACCTTTCCAAGGATGGAGGTGAGACTGACTGGCTTATAATTACTCGGATCCTCCTTCCACCCCTTCTTGAAAATAGGGACCACACTGACCCTTTCCCGGTCCTCCGGGACCTGACCCAAGCACCACGAGTAATCAAACAGCCATGCCAATGGTCCTGCTATGACACTGGCCAATTCCTTCAGTACCTTCGGATGCAGCTCATCTGGGGCTGCTGACTTGAACACATCCAGTCCATCCAAGTGACTCTGCACCAAGTCATTGTCGACAGTTGGTGGGCTGGTGTCCATCTGATGCCCATCTAAGAACCCATTAGGAAACTTGTCTTGAGCCCCGGTCAGGAACACCGAGGCAAAAACTCATGGAATAGCTCAGCCTTGTGCCCCCCCTGTCTGTCACTAATTGCTCCTCCTCGTTCAGTAGGGGTCCTATGCTGCCCTGTGCCTTCCTTTTACTCCCTACATACCTAAAAAAGACTTTTTGTTGTCTTTAATTTGTGTTGCCAGCCTCAGCTCTGTAGTTGCTTCGGCCTTTCTAACTGCCTCCCTGCAAGTGCGGGCCAAGTAGGTATACTTCTTGGTATACTTTGTTTGTAGTAAGACACAAACAAGCTCTCTTCCCATTTTCTGGGTGCCATTCATGACCTCTTCTAAAGACAATTTGGACTGGACAAGCTAACACGTGATCTGCTAAGGGCAGTGTACTGGTAGCAACACAAGCTTTTTGTTATGTTCATAACCCTACTAGACTCAACTCTACTTCAAGGCATATTACACGCACACACACATATACACACACAGACATACACACACACGCACATATATACACATACATGTATACATACACACACAAATAATTAATTAATTTAATTGGGCACCAGGCAAACATTGCTAAGAGCACTAGTGGGAACCATGCCTACATTAGTGGAACACAACCCTTTTCCTATTAAGGGGAAAGGGAAAGAAAAATCAGCATTAAGGGTGAGGAGTCTGTCCCCAAAGCATTGTCATCCGCAGGACTGGAGACACCAAATGAGATCCCTCCCCACCATTTTGTACGTGTCCCTCCTGGTCCAGAGACATGGAAGACCCATGTTACAAGGACTGTATAACCACTCAGAACCATATGGCAAAAACTTAATCCCCATAGATCGCTTGCTGGGTTCAGGAGGAACCTTCCAGCTACTGTGATTTTGCTTTAAGATGCAGAAGAAAATCTCTCCATCTCTAAGAATCTTTAATAAAATAATGAAGAAGGAGAAAAGTTTGGGAATGAGGAATTCAAGATCCCTCTGAAAGCTCCTGCTGGCTGCAACTTAGACTGGCATGATTTTCTTTACGAGAGGAGGAGGGGAATTCATGAAGAAAACTGGAAAATTAGGCTGATGGAAAGGAGTAGCGGGAGTTGCGGGGTTTCATCTCCTGTGAAAAGAATAAGAGGGTGTACGCACAAAGGCAACTCACAAACCCTCCAAGACTGAATTCAAACAGGGTGGAAATGCTGGGGCTCACAGCAGGCAGAGGGCTGAGTTTATGAAATGACTGTTGGGACGGTCTTCCCTGGAAAGAGGTAAGCTGTAGCAGTCATCCTTCACTGGCTGGGGAGTATGATGCTCCACGCAGCTCCATGTAGCATCTCATCCAGTCTTTCTGAAAGTCCTTCGGTATTAAGCCAGAGGAGTAAACCCATTTTCAAAGGGTGCAATGTGGAAAGTGTATTTGCACTAGGCCTTTAAAAACAAGCCATGGGATTGGAACAAATACTCTTCTGTAGCTGTCCCTACCTTGTGGGCTGATCTCAGTCACAGGAGGGAAGAATAAATTTCGCATTTGGCCAACTATTGATAATTCAGGCTGCTGCTGCTTCCATATGCATCTATTAAATGTTACCTTAAGGATGGTAATGTTTCTATGATGTAAAAAAGGAGGTACAGAAGTAGCCACTCACTTCAGCAATGTTGGTGCTAGCTAACCCAGATCTGCTCCCATTCTGGGTATTTTTGGACCAGGAAAAAATACCAATTCAGCCCTCATACAGAGAGTTCTGGGCAGACGACTATTGCCAACAGGTAATTAAATGTGACAGTACTGGACCTTTAGCATCCTCAATAAATCAGTCAGTCACAGAGTTGGAAATCTGTCTCTCAAAAGTTCGGATCAAGTAAGCATTAGTGCCAGCCAGACAGTGACACTATGGTATCCTGAAGGACGCTTCTCTTCACAGGGATGTGCTTTGTATGGAACTGAAAGCAGAATGGGCTTTTCAATAACAGGAATCAAGAGGAAACAGAGAGAACAAGGGAGCCCTTATCCTGACAGCTATCTATACCTCCAACTGGAAAGGCACATTTTCACCCCTGTACCCTGTCCAGGGTTGAGGAAGGAAAGTAGAGAGGAGTTTCTACCCTTAAAGCAAATATTTATGTCAGAGATATTTATGTTGATTCTTAGCAAAACCAGAATCAATGCAACAAAGGAGCTTTGATCTGCCAGGATATCCACAAGCCACATCTCACTGCCCCCATCTACACTGCTGGCTCAAAGGAGGCTGGTGGTGTTCCATCACGGGCTTTGTTCCTAGCAGAGATGGGACAGCCCAGGTAGAGAAAACCCAGGAGTCTTGATGCAGCACAGGTTAGCATGTATTGAACATCAGACACCCAGAGGAACAGGCTGGGGGGGCTGTAAACAAATTCAAACTTACAAAATAAACCAGATCCTCCCCTAACAGTTCTGTTACTACCCTTGAAGTTGCAGCACAGATGTGCAACTCACTGCTTCAAGACTGCCTTGAAGAAAAAGAGCAGTGGTCTTTGGGGTTTTTTCCCTTCATCATCCTCAACAAGTGGATGGGGAGCTAAGTTTCTTTTTCTGGCATATATTGCACAGCACCTTTTTGTTTCAGACCTGCAAAGAAACAGAAGAGCTGTTTGCAGCTCAAAGTGCCAAAGGGCCAGGGAGTGGGTGAAGATCCACAAGAAAACTGAATGGGTGAAAGAATTCAGCTACTTGTGTTGTTCTTCAGTCTGCTCGGTATTTGTCAGAGGAAGAAAGCCTTTGTGCTCTGATTTGCTAGTGCAATTACCAGACCTGGACAAGTGCAACAAGTGGGCACACAAATCATCAGTTAGATGTAAAAGTGATCATTTATGTAAGCATTTACTGCTTCAGTGCACGCAATGGCAGTAACCACATGCACAATTATTGCAGACATGTAAATGCACGCACATCTTTACATGTTTAGTCACATGAATACAGATCTGAAAATTTGACCACTGGATCTTTACATTTGCCTCTGGTATATTTCTGGGTATAGGCTTGCTTTCCATATCTTTAAGTAGTGAACCAGAAGGCAGTATTTACTTGAGTTTGCTCATCTAAATATCCTGAGGCTGTTGCTCACCAAAGTTTTTGGAATGGTTGTTAAAAGCCTTTGTTAATGATAAACTAAGTCACTGCAACTGTTTCCCAGTCTCTCTCACAGTGCAACTTATATAAAAAGGCCACAGTTCAAGACAACAGCAAACTTGTTGCCTCAGTACATTACCCCCATTTCAGACCACTGCACCAACTACTAGTAAGACTCAAAAGCCGTGGAGTTAACAAATGTAGCTCAGAGTATTTTACTTGTCTCCTGGATCTGGGCCTGCACAGAGTTGGAAATGTCTGTTTGTTTAGTTAGTCTCATTATAACCAGACAACGGGGAGTGCCATCATGATGGAATTGTGTTGCTCCTCGATGGAACATTTCCTGCTTCTGTTCTATTCTTCAGGTCTAAGTAAACTGTTTTCATTATATTAGTTTATGCAGTGCTTTGGGACTCTAAGGAGGAAGCCCCCGATACACATTTCCCCTAAAGGATTTAATAAATCTGTTTTATCTTCAAATAAAGTTCCTCCAGTCCTTTCATGTGAGCTCCAATTCCTCCATTTCTCTCATGTAAACTGATTATGTGAGGCTCAAGGATTTTTAAATATCAGACCTAGAAGATAGGCCATATCATAGAGCATTTTATTTCCAGGTGCAATTAATATTCCCCTTCCTATCTTGAATCTCAGCTACAAAAAAGAATTTCTCATACAGGCTGTATCTCATGACCTCCAGCTGGAACCATTCTGTTTTACTCAGAATGTCCAGCCAGACTTTGTTGCTCTGTTACAGGTACTGTAGGAACCCTAAATGAGTAAGTAACACCCCTATGTTTAATGGCTCTGATTTTTGCATCTACCAGTTCCTCCTTGCCAAGCCAGCCCAATATTTCTACCCTTTCCACTTTCTCTTTTACTCTAGAGGGTACTAAACCCAATGGAGCAAATCTGTGGACACTGGGCATGTCTACATGAGATGCTATTGTGTGGTCGGACTTGTATTAAAAAGTACTAAATAAATGTGCAGTAACTGAAGTTACTGTGCAGTAGTGCCAGTGAACATCTTTTAAGTGACACTACTGCACAGTAGCCTAATAATACTTTGCAGTATCATATTTGTACTATCTGTGTTGTGATGCGCTACTGTGCAATATTTTTCAGCTACTGCAGTCAGAATCTCATGTAGACATGCCCACTGCACAGCCAGGCTTAAAGGTCTTTGTGGAACATTTCTCAGAGTCCAGACTGCCATAAGCTGCAAGCTGTCCTCCACTGTCCCAACTGCCTCTCTTGGCAACATCCTGACAAAAAGGTGCAGTTATTGTGCTTATCCCTATGACCAAATTGTGATTCAAATCTCTCCCAGTGGAAATGAACAAGAATGAATAAATAGCAGCCTTAAGGCTGAAGACCTGCAGCAGACTGCCAGAGATGCAACAAAACAGTCTTTGATGCTTAAAGATATTGCTGCTCTCCAACTGAGAGGGCAAGTGCTTTGGCTTATCTAGAGTGGCTTTGCCTGACCTGAGTGCTTCAGCTTAGCTGGGTCCTTCTACTCCTGAGCCTAACTGCTACATGGAAGCAGCAAGCTCAGCCACTGAGGCAGAGGGGAACAGAGCACTGCATGTCACTCTTGAGCAAGACCCTCCAGCTAACACAGGGGTGTTGGCAGGTTCTGCTGGGAGCAGTGTACAGCTTGCCTTGAATCACTGTGCTCCAGGGTTTTTGTAGCTAGACACCAATAGGGGAGGAAAGGGTTGTGGGGGGAATGATGATCTCAGATTTGCTTCTCTGAGAATAAAGAGAGCTGGAAATCCCTGACTGAGTATGAAGTCTTCCATCTCGACCTGCCTCCTCCAGGCCAGAATGGAAACAGTTACTGCCTTCCCATGAGAACAAGCCAGCACCAACCCCAGAACCAAACTGACTCTTCTCTAGCATTTCCCACAAGGGCCCAGATTCAAGGCATTTCGCACGCACCCAGAGAGAGGGTCAAGAAAGAGGGAGCAGAGCAGCAGGTGAGCTGTAATACATTACTTGGCATATGGCGCATGCAGCATAGAATAGACCTGGCTTTGATGTGGAAATCCCTTTCTCCATCCTTCAATCCCTGATTAACGAGGTGAACCACTTCATCTGGAGTGAGGTCGCCCCTGCGGGAATAAAACTCACAAGTCAGCCAGCAAGCCAGGGGATTTAGCACCCCCAACAACCACTAAAGAAGAGACACTGTGAACATGTTTGTACAGCATCATGCAGATACCCACCCTACCTCCAGAACAGGAAGCAGCCTAGCCACCTTAGCCTGGGTACAGCTCTGCACTAAGACTGCTGTACTGCTGCTGGTTCCAGAGGTAGCATATAGCAGGCACATCTACATGAGATGTTTACTGTAGAGCTGCCCAATTAGTTCTGCAGTATAAAGTTTTAGAGTCTACACATGCAGCCCTATTTGGCTGCAGGAAACGTAGATTAGTACTTGTAAACGTAAGTACTATCTTACGGCGGTTTTCTTTAGTGCACAGCAACACACGTGTAGACACTGACGTGGCTGGCTGGAGCACGAGGGTGTTTCAGTGCGGGGGATGCCTGCACCCCTCGTACCCTAGCCAGCCTCCCTGCAATATGATGAGCTGGGTCAGAGCACCCCTGGGCTGGCAGGCTGGCCTTCGTGGCCCCCTGGCAGCCAGGCCTGCTCTAACCCGGCTCAATGTGCTGCAGTCTCAGGCTCCCATGTCAAATGTGGTGCTTGGGAGCAATAAACGCTGGTGCAATATGCACCAGAGCTTATATCACATTAATTTTGCATGTAGACGCACCTGCAGACTAGCCCCCCAACTTAGGCTGAACCTGGGACTTGTGCCCTGCTCACCCATTCATTGTTATGAAGCAGGGAGCAGTTTCAGCCAAAAATCTCACAGCTGCTTCACATAGGCAGGATCAAATGCCTTAGGGCAAGATGTCCTCAGAAAACAAATACTTCCACAAACACATAATTTTGCAGGGCAAGAAACTATACAGCTATCACTTCATTTCAGGATAGGGCTAAGAGATGAAATGGCAAAGGTTCACAGGAGTTTGGGTTGCATACTATCTGACACCAGGCCTAACTTCTTGCCTGAACTGAAAACCTCCCTACTTCATGCTCCTGGGCTGATACGTTGCAAATTACTGAACCAGTCAGCAAATGAATGATAGAGACAGACAGCACCATAAAATGGACTTTATAGCCACAGTTTTATTTGTAATGTTTTATAACATACTAGTCAGCATGTTGTAATATGCTTTGGAAAAAATAAGTCTGGGTCCTAAAAGTCTTATTATGGCACTTTGCTATCAAGTCTTTAAGGAAGAGGGAGAATGTGGATATGAGCAGCAAGTGCTTATTAACTAGGTATCCATTACTTTTCAGACACGTTCCTGTAACCTGATCTATGCCTTTCAATTCATCCATCTGGATTAGCTCTACATTCAGTTTCAGTTCATAATTGCCCAAAACAATTTGTATGCTCAATTATCATAGCTGTGCCTGCTTATTTAGTAGTTAGAAGCAAGTCTGTCCAATAAGTTATGTGCATTTGAAGCTACTGCAATCATCCACGCAATTCAGATATATAAATTCATATCTTAATTAATACCAGCTTGAAACTCTGGTTCTCCATTTATAAATGCTTCTTACTGCCTGCTGAGAACAAGAGTGAGTTCTCCTTTTGGGGGTCAGTGACTTTTATAAGAGTTTCAGTATATAGTGTTCACATTGTTTCAAGCTTTAGCGATTCACTCACTCTTTTTGGCCCCATGGAATAGGATCCACTTTGCAGTTGGCTAGGAGGTGAGGGCTATACCTGACCTCAACATAGATGATGCCTTCTCTGGCTTTCATTTCTACAAATTCATAAGCTATTCTTCTTACAGCATCACGGTCTCCCCTGCAAGGAAAAACAGTGAGGTTAGTCCAATGTGAATGGATTTAAGGAGTCAATGGGCAGCAACAAGATGGGCATGTGTGGAGCTTTTGTGGGTCTGAAATGCTTCCTGATGAGGTAGAACTGAGGTTTCAGTTACCAGCACATGGTTTGTGTCAGCATGAGCCCGAACACAGATAAATTATAACACAATTAATAATAATTTATTCATACAAAACAGTTCAGCT